TTTTTTTTTCTTTCATGGTTTCGGTTATTACTGCACATTTTTTTGTACTCACCTAAAGCGAATATATGAATATTTTTTGTTTATTCATCATAGTCTGTCTCGTATATTCTTACTAATAAGAAAAAGAAATATTCTATATAAATGTGTCAGAATGATGATCATCAATATGTTCGATTATGATGTATTTTCCTTTTTCAAATGATTTTATACGATGATAGTGATTTCGAAATGAATGTACTATTTAATCATAAATTATAATTATTTCTTTTTTTTGCTTGTCATATTTCTTGAAATATGTGCACATGTTTTAAAATATCGAAAAAAAAATTAAATTATTAAACATAAACTAGTAATGACATCTGTAAACGATATTTATCATATAGAGATGAAATTCTATTCAAATCAGCGCTAGTTGCTTAGAGGAAATATAATCGGATACGATTGGATCAAACTAATTGAACGAAAGTTTAATGATTTCTTCATTTGATCATGAGTCTTAGTTGTGGCTATAGATGAACAACGGTTGTGTTATCTAATAAATTAAAAAAGAATTATATTGTTCATATAAAAATATTTCATAGTTCGAATAAATGATACTATATATATATATATAATCTATCAATAAAAATGTTCTTGTAGATTTTAAAGCGTATTATTACTTTTACAATGGACGTTTTTATGATGGTTCGTCGGCAAAAACTTACGCTCTTTATTGATGCTAAAGAATCATCAACAGTTGTTGAATTAAAAAAAATTATTGAAGGTATTACAAAAGTTCCATCGAATAATATACGTTTAATAGTCGATTCAACAAAACAACCAATGGATGACGATAATCAAACACTTGCCGATTGTGGATTGTCAGGTGCTATAGCTAAGGCTTATTCTCCTACACTTCTTTATTTATGTTATCGTAAGGCTGGTAATGAAAACGAATGGGAACCAATTGATGTTGCTGAATTGTAAGTTTGAAATTTTTATAATTAAATTAATCCGAAAATGATAATATTTATTTCAGTAATAAAACTGTAGTATTTATGATTAACTTTAGAGATCGATTTATATCCGTATTATCTCATAAAAAAGTCGATTTTATATTTTGACAGACAATTGAATACATCATATGAACAGAGATGAATTTTAAGAAAAATTCATCGTTGATAAACTCGAATAACTACAGTTAATTACATTTTAGTATAGACTTGAAGTTTTCATTAGTAGAACTCAAGAAGAAATCTGACTGACATAGAAAACTATTCTTTAACTCGAACAAAAGAAAAAAGAAAGAATGTTTTTTTTGCTCCTTTTTTTAATTACATTGATTTTTTTTTAATTTTAGGAGCACACCTCCACCATTGCCTGAAGTATTTAACAAAGCTGATGAAGACAAAAAAGACAATCCTCAAATCGCTTCATAATATCATAGAACAATTCATCATAAACACTTGTAGGGAGTTTTTTTCTTCTAAATTTCTCTTCTTTTTTTCATGCACATGGTAACATTTGTCTTATCTTCATAATAACTCTCTGCCTGTGTATAAACGTTCTTGTCTCTTTTTTTTTCTGCTGTCTGTTGTTTCATCATTATTAAAAGTAAAAATCTTTTTTTTTCTGTTTTCATAATGGAGCAAAGATCAATCATGATTAAATTTAATTTAACATAAATGCGAACATTCAACAATTCGTTTGTTCTTTTTTTTTTGTTCTTTTAATTATTATTATAATTTTATTCTTTACAGAAATGCATTAGTCAAAATGGAATGACATCAAATGAGAAACAGAACAGAAAATGTGAATGGGAAAAGATATAACTAGTATGTGCTGGGGAATTTCATAGAACGATGACAGAAGAAACAGAAAAAAGAGGTTTCAAAGGACAAAAAAACATTTATATCATAAATAAATAAATAATGAAGAGATACGACAATTATTGATTAGAAGACGATAATTTTTTGACGGCTTTCTTCAGATTCTTTATCATCATCATCATCATCAGGACCGGATGTTGAGCTTGAATCTTGATGTCCAGGTGTTGCAGTTGATTTAATCTATATATAATAAAAAATAATTATTTCTATAGAACAAAAATATTCTTTTGTATTTTACTTTTTTAACTTTTTCCGATTTCATATTAGGATAAGGTTCAATTACAACTTTACCAATATTTTTACGTTCAACTAATTTACCAAGAGCATTATTTACCTAAAAAATATCAATAAACTTATCGTAAACAAAACAAAATTTGTTTATTTATACTTCGTCAAATGTAAATACAGAATCAATAACTGGTTTGATTTTTCCTTCTTTATAAAGTAAAAATACTTTATGCATTATATCAGCTAAATAACGACGTGTATCATTTGAACCACGTGTAAGTAATTGAATTAAATTAAAGCCATGTATAGATTTGCTATCTTGAAATAAACGTAAACAACTTATTTTATCATTTTGCCACCACTAGACAATAACAAAAAAAATAAAATATTGATTTAACAAAAAGAAAAGAAAGAAGTGATTTTATTATTCATACATTAGTCATTCCTTTCGTTATACCAAATAAATTTTTTACATCCCAACTAAGTAAACTTGATGTTCCATACATAACATATTTTCCATTAAATTTAAGTAATGCAAGACCACGTTCACAATCATCACCTGCCATACAATCAAGAACTAAATCGACACCTTCTGGTGCTATCCTACGAAAGAAAAAAAAAAAGAGAATAAGTATTCAATTATATAGGCTTATAAATGTTATTTACTTTTTAACATCTTCTGTATAATCAATACCATGTTCAAATAAATAATGTATATGTGCTCGAAGAACATCAAATTTATGTGAACTAGTTGTTGCGATAAGAGTTAAATTAGGCACAAGTTTTGATAGTTGTGTCAATGCAACTAGAAGAAAAATTTTGTTATATTTTTGATTTCATGAAAAGAAAAAAATTCAACTTACCACCAACACCACCACCAGCGGAATGAAATAATAATGTTTGACCTGATTTAATATTACCAATTTCAAATAATAATATATAAGCTGTTAAATAAGATATTGGAAGTACAGCTGCTTCACGGAATGACATTTCTTTTGGAATTTTAAATACTAAATCTTTTTTAACAACGATTTGTTCAGCCCATGCAGAAAATCGTGTTATTGCAAGAAC